ATATGCAGGCAAAATACTCATAGAAATAGAATAAATAAAATATTTTTAAATGCTAGATAAAAATCCTGCTTGTGAAGCAGCTTGAAAAACCTGTTGATGTTTTTGTAGTAAAAAATTCTGGCCTAAGTCATTATGTTAAATTACAGTGGCTAATGATGAGTTATATAACACTTAGTAATTGTGTTTTTCACATAGTTAATGTTTCTGAGGAACATGGGGTAGATTTCCAAACTCTTTTTTAAACCCGATTTTGTCACCAAAGAATCAAGTTTGTTTCCATGAGGATCAATTTATACTTTTAAATTTTATTCTAATTAAACACCATAATTGTATTATGATTCTATAATACTCAGAAAACTAAAAACAGATAAAGCATTTAGCATGCTAAGAGACATCTTTATAAGCCATTCCAATTTGTGCACTTTTAAAATATTGACCTTAATTTTAGGTGTGATGTATGCCAACACCTAACCTAATAGAACATAATTTACTTGATGCCATACACCTTTAATTCTACCTACTCAGGCAGCTGATGCAGAAGGATCACTTGAGTGCAGGTATTCCAGGTAAACCTGGGCAATACAGCAACATCATGTCCCTAAAACACATGTAAAACTAAGCTAAGAATATTTCTCTTGGGGGTAGCATTACATATGTATGGAATTCATTCATTTGTTCAACATTGATTCCAGTAAATAGTCACTGAAAGCTTAGTCAATATAAAGCACCGGTAGGGTGACAGAAAGGAATCAGATAGGATCCACGCTTCATAGAAAACAACATGTTAGGCTACTTAGTTTGTGGCTGCAACAAAGCTAAAATAGAGTGGCTCGATAAGGCAGATGTGTATGTTTCTCTGTAGCAATCTGTCGATGAAGCACATCTAAATTGGTGGGGATATTCTGCCAAACCTATGGTTTCCAAGATCACTCCCGCCATCATGTTTCCCAGACAACAGGAAGGAGAAAGGTTAGTGAAGAAAGTAGTCATTAAGGAGGTGACCTGGAAATGGCATATGTCATTTCTGCCCTGGAGTGAACTTAGTCCCATAGCCAGACCTGAGAATGTAATTTCCTTTACAGAGAAGTCAGTACCCTGCTAGATTACTAGCAAGTGAGTCCTCAGATATGACACTCCAGACAAGGTTAAGTCTTAATGCAACACGGGGCTTCTAAAGCATCACCATTCATAGCCCATTTTCACCGGAGAAATTTTTAGAAACCCTGAGTATATAGGAACACAAAATAGTATGCATTTACTAACTTAATAAACCATAAGGAAATTTATTTAAAACAACTCTTTGGGAACTGGGAAGATGGCTCAGTAGTAAATCGCTTGCTGCATCAGGTGTGAGAACCTGAGTTCAGATCCCAGCATCTGTGTAAATGCTGGGTACCACAATGTGCATCTGTAACATCAGTGCTGGAGAGGGTGGAGCCATGAGGATGCTAAGGGCTTGCTGGCTAGCCAGTCTAGCTGAAATGCTAACTCCAGGTTCAGTGAGAGACCCTGACTCCAGTATAACACAGACAGTGATAGAAAATTCCTGCTGTTGACTTTGGCCTCCACATGCTGACACTCAGGCATAGGTGAGTACACACACACACATGCATAAAACACAATTATAAGAAAAAAACCACAATTTTTGGTATATGTATAATTTTGTTCTTTATTAAAGACAAAAGTAAATGTACACACTTAAGAAGATGGATGTGTTTATGTTTACATAAAGAATTAATTCTTGGCTGAATGTTTGATACCATAGGATGTAGATCATCATCAGTGTTTTTCAGAGTTGATCAATATTTTGATTTTTCTAATCAATGCTGAGAACATTGTTTCCCATAAGTATATAGTACAAAATGACAGAACTATTTGAAGGATCATTTCTGAACTTGTTGGAAATTCTATCCTAATCCCAAACCAAATTTTATTTCATAATTTTTAAAATGTATTTTTAGTTATTGAGAATTTCATACCAGTATACAATGTATTCTGAGCAAATCACCCCCACTGCCTCCTCCCCAAACATTTCACTATTTTTAAAAACTGAGGCTCAAGTCAGCAACTCAAACAGCAAAATTTCCCTTTTTAACATCAAACATTCTAATACAGTACATTCAAAGATGTATTAATTTGAGACCTGCATGCTGAGGAATGATGGAAGGAGAGTATTAAGTCTTTGTTTTATAATGAAACCATTATGCTTCTATAAGAATAGAAAACATTGCGTGTACAATAAAATACTGCAGTTCAAAACATAAGAGACTCAGACCTGAAGGCAGTTGTTGGTGTCATGTGGCATGGAGGCATGCACAGATCAATGTGAGCGTGTTGTATATTCAGATCAAAGGCTGCAGTGTAGTTGCATGGTGCAACACAGTTGAGAGCTGTCAGAAACACCTCAGGTTCATTAGTATCGCTCTTGAACCAATTTTGGTTGTGTGCATTCAGAAACCTTTCACTGTTGCAAAACTTTTTGTGACTTCTATAGGTGTCATGACCCAAAGTTTAAGATGTTGTGGTGTTCTAACTCAGTGGTTGCATGGTGCCAGGGTCCTGTGAAACTGATCAACTACCACAAGGCCAAGGGAGCATTTCAAGTGCAATAGAAATGTTCTAAATATTGACTGCCACTAACATGTCTGTATACAGTTAACCAGCATTCGTCAGTCTCTACCTAGAGCAGGTTCATTATTTTTGTTGCTGCCATTATTGTTATTGCTTTGAATGAGGCTTATAGGATTTCAAGAGAGTTTGTTTTTTTTTTTCTAAATCACTCAGATTGGAATACTTGGGCCTAAAAATTACCACTGCTTTATTTTATTTGGATTAGTCTTTACTAGTAAATAATAACGAGGACACATATCAGTGAAGGGAGTTTACAGTGCTGTTGCTCAGCCTTGGAGCGCAGTTGCTTGACTGAGTAATTACATAATAAAACATTTGTCTCCTTCCCATCATATCCCTGCTTTTGTGCTGGTTGCATGACTCTTCCTCAGCAGCTCTAGACCTCTAGCTTCTCTCAACGAGCATCTCCTGTGCCATGGAGTCCTTTGGGATATTAGAGCCATCTTCTGGATCCTTTGCAGCCAGTCAGACAAAGAGGGAGACAGAGGGACCCATGAGCTTACAGGGCTCTGGCACAGAAGAGACAGGCACTGCTGCGGCAGCTCCCTCCCTCTGCAGTGATCCATCTAGTGCCCTCAGTGGGTGTCTGAAACCACAGAAAGTGCCAAGCCCTTTATGTCCTTCCATTGTTTCCTACATATGCAAATGTCTGATAAGTTTGCTTTATAAATCAGGAACAATAAGAGATTAACCTTAATAATAAAATGGACAGTTATGATTGACTGAAATAAAAATTACTGACCTGGTCTCTCCCTTGAGTCAAGACAGTTGTTATTTTCAGACCTTGGTTGACTAAGGGTAATTTTGAATGACAGTAAATGAAGGCAAAGACAAAGGGAGACTGGCGTACCTGTATTCCGGTGGGCAGAGTGGGTCACATGACCATACCTAGAGGCACAGCTATATGTGCAGGGTTCTTACGAGCCCAGGCCAGGAGAGAAATAGTGAATATGGTGCCTGACACAATACAGAAATGACCTAAAAATATTGAATAGTTGGCTTCCATTTCAATCTAGAAACAGCTATTAGGAATTAGATTCATTTCTTCTAATCCCTTTAGGAATTTCTGATGTTTTATTTCAGTGCTGAGGCTCACACCTAGAGATTTGTGTTTGTTTTCACTGAGCTACAGCCTCAGCCCTTTGAGACAAGATCTCATTATTTAGTCCAGGCTGACCTCAAACTCGAGAGTCTCCTGCCTTAGTATTCTGAGCGTTGACATTGCAGGCATGTGCTTCCACTCCCAGGACATTTTAACATTGTGTGTGGGTTCTATGCTTAATTTTGTATAATCATTTTTCACTATGTATTACTATACATTTCCTTTCTTTTTCAAGAGTTGAGCTCCTATTTTGTAATATATTAGTTGGAAAAATTTGGAAAATTTTCTATGCCTCAAGTTTGTTTTCAATTTATAAAATGATGACAGAAACACTCACTACCTGCTAAACTGGCAATTATGAAGATTAGCATCAGTCACACAGACTACATAGCATGAAGTTCTTGCATGAAAGAGTTACTTAAGTCATTGAAATTTTATACTTTGACACTTAGGCTAATTCATTATGACTTCTGTTAATAAAAGATTTTGCTTTTAGAACAGCTTAGTACAGAGATTGTCCAGGTGCTACCCCATATGTACATACTGGGTGACATTACCTTTATCAGCATCTACACTACATAGTGCATGTGCTACCACTGAGGAACCTGCATTGCCTAGCGTGATTCAGTCTCCTTTTAAGAAACCAATATTGTTTATGATGACATTCTTTCAGGTGAATCACAGTGTAAATTTTTCTCATGCAAATGTGTTTTAGTTTAGCTTCTCCAGAAAGTACAAAGACAAGACAAACAAAAGGCATTAGCTTATCAGAGGGCACCATGAAAGTCCAGGGGCATGAAGCAGAGGAGAGAGAACCAGTAGGAGAAGGTGCTGTCAGCTTGGTTGTTGGTCTGTGCATCAAGTAGATTTGCAATGCAAGATGTTGTCTAAGGATTTGTGTAAACACTTTCTTAAGCTAGTCGATTCAGGAGGCAGAAATGAGCTTTTACCTACTGGCTCTTCTATCCCATGGGTTGAAATATCACTCCCCTGGAAGTCAACTCCACATGCTTGGAGGTTGAGCCTGACTTAGCCCTTGGTGTATCTTGTGGTGTGTTAGAACCAGTGCAGGGTAGTCAGGAAAGTTGGAGCCAGAGTGAGGTAAAGCTGAGAGCATCCTAAGAAGATCCTGGGAGAACGCAAATTTGCATCTTTATATTATGCAGTTTTCCTATTGTGGAGCATGTTGATAACATTTATAGAGGAAGTTAATCACATTTAGTTCTGAAAATATATTATTTATATTCTCTGTATTTCTTCCATTTAGGATCAAATTAATGAAAACCTGCATATTGTGAAAGGGGATGGGTCTCACTCATCAATGAAGGACTGCCTCCTCTTGCAACCGAGCTCTTTGTGAGGTAACCTAACTAGAGAAAAAGAAGAAGGTTGATATAATTGGTCAAGTCCAAAGTGTTTGCCATTGTGTTTGGGATGAGAACTCATTTATACCATGGCAAGGGATTCTGGGAATTAGAGGGTCAACTAGCATGCACTAGCTTATCCCAAGCCCCTTCTGACCTACCTCCAAGCAATTGCTCTCCTTCTTGGATATTTACTAAAGAGCCTTAGAGCATCCTCCTTAGCTTCAATTTGTTATTGTTCAAAAAGTGAAATGAGTATGGGTGTGCAATGCAGCTCTTCCAGACTGCACACCCTTCCCTTTTCTTCTCATTCCCCTAAAACTCAAAGAGCATCACGGGTACTCCTGGACACATCCCCAGTGAGATACATAAAGGGAATTGGCCCCATCTTCTGACATGCTGAGTGTGTGAAAGTCAGTTGTGAGTGATCATTTTACACTCAAGAGAATGGCCTCTTAGGCCTTATTTTCTGTTCTGTCCAAAGCTTTTTTTGGGGGCCAGGTGGAAATTTCCTGGTCTGTGATCCTGAGCTATGTACAAGAGATCTAACACATGCAGCCAAAGGTACCAGGTATTTGTTATGACAATTATTCCTGGATGTTCTGAGCTTTGGGCTGCTCATTGCTAACCCTAGAATTGCCACATGCCCATTGAGATATCTCACTCTTCCCTGTATCTAGATACACTCGTGTTAGTATATGATATCAAATCTCTCCATGACAAGTCACTGCAATTGTCTATTCATTTGTGTGCACCTACACTATTATTTACTGTATTTAGTATTCTTGTAGTATTTAGTGACCTTCACTGGTTCAGCATTCTTGGGAAGAATTTTCCTTTTGGCCACAGGGGAACCTTGTGTTTCTCTGGATCCTTCCAAGAGAGGGGAATGCAACAGCAGCAGCTGTGGATATGAAAATAACTGGAAACAAAATAGAGAGAAAACTCAGAAAATGCTGAGAATGGCTTCACACAGAATACATTCTCTACTGACATGGAATATTTTGTAGGATCTGGTAATAGAACTGGCTCCCACATGGCTATTTTAAACCCAAAGAAATCCAGAGGTAGATGGACATGAGAATTCATATTTTAAACACAGAATAGAGTTCTGGCTCTATTTTATGCTCAGATCCACTCGGGTGATTCATATTACACTCTGAAATGCATGGATATATTGGGACTAGAACAGCTTTCTAATATAGCTCCTTTCATAATGAGACACAAATAAAGCTTTGGGACTTCACATACAAAAAAAATGAATAGTAGGTGGATGATGTCAAGACCTAGATTTCTGTTAATAATTTCAGAATGTACTTTTTTCATACTTAAAAAAATATTTTAGCCTGTAAGGCCAAAACTCGCTGAGATACACAATGTCTTCGAGGGAGTGCTCTGCCCATCTGGTGTGCATGGTTCTTCCTTCAGCATTCTCAGTGCTCACAGCCACAGTTCCTCAGTCATGAGTCCTGTTATCTACAAGGCCCCTAGGACGTCCCACCCAAAAGCCTTCCTGTTGCTACATTACCATGAAAGGTGTCCTGGGAGAACCAAGAAAAACAAAGCAAAGGAGCTTCCTTTCAGCAGTAGCCGTCCTCCCCTCCTGGGTGGAAAACATGCATATACCACTATGTGCTGGCGTCTGGGTCCTTCAGAGAAGATTTGGACTTCCAAAGTAGAGAAAACCAGGATACAGAAGCTTCCAGAAACGCCATTGCTTGTTTGTACTTTTCTCTTAAGGTAACTTATTGTATAAAATCTCAACTCTAAAGCTGCCTTTGAGATCAAGGAGAAATACATTTATGCATTTAGCTCATGATTCAGAAACTTATTTATAAGACTGTTGATTTTGGGACACCCAACTCTTGCATTAAGCTGCTGAAGTGAGTCATGTTTGTGGGAGGTAATTACTACCAGAAAGCACAACTAACTTGTAAGCTTCTCTTTAAAATGTCCACTCACAATCTACAATTACTGCAAATAACAGGCTACCAGGGTTTTTGCTATGTTTTATGCCTAGATGTATTTATCACAAGTGCATTAGGCAATACCCAAACATACTTTTGTCACAGAGGGGTTCTTGTAGGAGAAATGAGCACCTTTATTAGCATCAGTATAGATGTCTGAGGATGCAGGATTGAAAAGATATAATCTCAAGGTATCCTTTCCATTACAGGGAGCAAAGCTCAAAGAACAGCTGGCTCAAAAAAGTAATGATAGTTTTCATTTGCTGGGGAATATTATATATATATATATAATATTATAACTTATTTTACATACTTTCATTAAAGTGTCTCCTTTGCTCAATTTTAAGTTGAACTAAGTTTTGGAACGTGTAAAAATATATGAGTTAATCATCACTTAGTAAGTATTTAAGGCACCACTGCATGCTGGGAGATATTTCAGACAATGCAGTAATGACCAACGGATAAAGCCCCTACCCAGTTAGGGTAACAGTTTAAAGGACTAAGACAGACAAAGGGCATATCAATGATGATATTGCTCATATAGGAAATTGTTATGATTATTACATAGGAAAGAGAGGCTTTCTCTTTCACTTTTTTTTTTTTTTTTTTTTTTTTGAAACGGGGTCTCCCTGTAACCCCAGCTGTCCTGGAGCTCACCAGGCTTGCCTTGACTCACAGAGATCCGCCTGCTTCTGCCTCACTGAGTTCTGGGATTAAAGGTGTGTGCCACCACACCCGACTTAGTGTTTTTTAAATGCAGGATTGTGGGGCTGGAGAGCTGGTTGCTGCTCTCCCATGAGAGTTCAGTTCCCAGCACCCACATCAGGAAGCAAATAGCTGCTATAACTCCAATTCCAGTTTATCTAATGCCCTCTTCTGGCCTCTGTGAACACAGACACACATGTGGCATATATATACACAGACACACATACATATACATAAATAAAACCTTAAAAATACTTTTAAAAAAGCAGGATTGTTTCAACTATGAAATCAGATAACATCAAGGATAAAGGGACAAATACTAAAAGTTATCTGAAATAGAAGCAGATCCCACACACAGAGCACTCAATGACAGAGGGGCAGCAAGCTTGTCGTTTCTGATGGAAGAAGACTGTCATATGTTCATGAGATGACAGAAATTAATTTTCCATGTTGAATTTTGCATTCACCAAAGCTGTTAAAATGCATAGAATAATTTTTTTCATCATTAGGAAGACTTAGACAGCTGACCAACCATAGACTCTCATTAAACAATATACTTTTATAAAAATATCCCAAGGTCTGGATAGGTCAGTGAGCAAAAGGCATTTTCCACCACACCTGAGAATCTGGGTTTAATCCCCAACACCTACACATAGAAGGAGAGGACCAACTCCTGCAAGTTGTTCTCTGACCGCCATACTGCCACCATAACATGAGTATACCAGCCCACTCATACACAGTAAATAATACATGTAATAAGAACTCTCCCCAAAAGTCATAAAATTGAAGTTCTAAATAACAAGTTGAAATGTTCAATGGGAAGAAATTAAAATGCTGAACAACTTTAGAGTTTGCTTAAAATTTTACAGATAGGAATGTATCTTAAACTTTCAATGCTAATTGTGAAAAGAATAGAATTTATGTATTACAAAATGGGGAGGAAGACGTAAAAAAGAAAACAAAAAATGAAGTCTAACAGAAGACAGCAAATTGCAAGGGCAGCAGATGAAAAGCAGCAATGGTAGGAAGCAGGCTGCATTAAGCTGCGTGTCAGCGAAGAACCGCCTCTTCTGTAAATGCTGGATATGAATATTTTAAGCATTTTAGATTACAGTTTCTGAACATCTTTAAAAATGTAAAGCCACCTTAGCATGCAAGCCATACAAAAATGGGTTTCAGGGCAAGTTTGACCTATGGGGAGTAGTTGGTCAACTTCTGGATTAAACTTTCAATAGACAAAAAGTTCAGGTCATAATTTTTAAAGCTGGCTCTATACTTCTCATAAGGCAGGACCCCAAAAAACCTACATTGAAATGATTTTCCAAAGGGCAAGAAACAATACATTGTGATTATACTAATCAAAAAAAAAAAAAAAGAAAGAAAGCTAGTTGTCTTGATGAGGGTTTCCCCAAACCAGACCTGGAGAAAAGAAATCAGTCAGATCATTTATTTGGAAAGTGATCCTGGGAAACACCAGTAAGGAAGTGAGGACCTGACAAAGGGAAATGAAAAAAGCCTGTCCCTTCTACAGGCAACTGGTGTTCAGGCCCACAGAGGAATGCTGGGAGGCAGAGAACATGCCTCAGAATTAACCATTTGGGGAACAAGGAAGCTGAGGTACCTATTGGCCAGACTCCTGCTATTTTCTTCTGCAGCGCTACAGAAGATACTTTTTCTACCAAGAGTAAGGACCAGAGAGTTTTTCAACTATAAAACACAAACCAAATAAACTTGTTCTAACAGTGTCTTTGTTAACTTTCCATATAGACAGGATCATACTGTGCAGCTCAGACTGGCCTCAAGCTCCCGATTGATCCTCCTGCCTCCATCTCCTTGTTATTGGGATTACAGGTCTGTGCCACCACAGCCAACAAATTTAATAGTTTCCCTTAGAAGGCTGTGACTATTCTGATAGAAAATGTATTTTTAAAGAATCATAGACTTGTTCCAAATATCGATTATATACTAAATAATAAGAAAACCAATGTTTAAAGAAATATTAACATGTAGGAAATTTCTCTGAAAAAATTGAAATTAATTTAGTTAACAACTGAAGGTACTATAGTTTATATGTTAATTACCTGCCCCCCAGGCTCATGTGTTTGAACATGCAGCCCACAGCAGGCAGCACTGTTGTTTAGGAGATTATGGAACTTTGGGGAGGCGGGGCAGAGCTGGAGGAAGTCAGTAGCTGAGTGACAGACAGGTCTTGAGGTTCTGTAGCCCAGCTCTGCTGCTGGTTCTCAATCTGCTTCCTGATTCACCCAGATGCTAGCAAGCAGACATCATGCTACTGCCACACTGCTCCTCAAGCCAAGATCTGAA